ACGTGTGACAGGAAAGAGACATTTGGTTTTAAAGTTAAAAAAACACAAAGATTTGTTCTTCAGTTTGGATCGCATTTACCTTTTTCACAAAACAAATTCTCAAAGCAAATTAAAACCCGATGTCAGCGTTTTGCATTCATCTATGGATTTACAGAAATGTTTTACTTCAATTTGCAAATAACTAATAGATATTTAAGTGTTTTTTTTTCTTAAATGACTTCTTTAGTGTGGTGTCTTAATTAGCATTCTGTTGGCTCCTTACTACTTTTTACAATGTTCCTAGTGTATTTGGAAAATATTTTTTAAACCTTTGGTGTGAAGCAGTGTCTTTTTTTCCCACTTTCCCTCATTTTTTCTTTTTCGTTTTCTTTTTTCTTTTTTAATAATTCTGGAGTCTTTGGTTAAAAGGAACAATACTACCTAAGGACAAAATGCTATTATTAAAAAAAAGGTCTTCTCTATGTATTATGTGTAACACATTTCTGGAGCAGGTATGAATAAAAAGCATTTTTATTTCCTGAAGTGCCATCAATATAAACCTTTACTCTTTGAAAATTGAGATTTAAGTTATGATCTTTGATTTCTTAAACTCTTACATATAAAAAATTCTATCAAGTAATCAATGATCATTTCTGCTTTTCCCAGTTGACATTTCTAAGGCTATCTCTTGGTTGTTTCATCGACTACATAAACACTATAGCATTTCCCATAGAGGGGGCAGGAGTGGGAATGACTGAGCGGGCAAGTGAAAGCGTACGTGTGTTTGAATGTGTGTGTGTGTGTGTGTGTGTTTGTGTGATAGCAAATTGAAACCCTTCTGTCTGGGATCCCAAACCATTTATGCAAAAGGGTATTTAAATTTCTCTGCTGGGGCTGCAGCAACTGTACTTAGTAAAAAAATAAATAAAAATTAAGGGAAAAAAACCTAAACAATTATTTGTATCTATCGACTATTCATTTACAGCATGTTTAATTATTTACATAATAACACATCAACTTAAGCCATAAACAGAATTAGCATGTTGCCTTACCATAAAATACAAATTAGAAGTTAAAAATATTTAAGAAATCTGTTTTAATATTTACACACGTTCAGTGAAAGTTATGGTTGCTCACATTACATGGACTCTGTATACTCAGCAAAATGTCATGATTGCTACAGTTGAGAATATCTGCCCTAACCAACATGGTGGGATTTAGTTATTTTTTTTCCTCCTCCTAGGAGGAATTTTTTTTTTTCTTTTATCATTTTGTGTTTTCTTAAGACATTTTTCTTTTTAAATCACCAATGGACAATGTTATTTGTTTCCTTGAAAAAGAGAATAGACAAGCAATGTGAAAACTAGTTAATTTCTATGTTCTGAGGTACAGTACTATTGTAGTGTCAAACTGTGCAGTGGTTCATAAGAACTGTAGGCATTGATTCGCTGATAGAGAAATGCTCAGTACCCTGTATTACTTGTTTCAATATGTTGATTTGTCAGTTGCCAAATAAAAAATATTCATACACTGATTTAATGAAGGAAATAAACATATTAGCTTATTCCTTTTGTTTTCCAACGTATGAATGCATATATATGTATGTATGTTTACATGGATCTATATATACACATATATACATGTAGATATGTTGTAGACCTGCTTGTTGGCTGTTTTTGTTATTGAGTATGACTTTACTCATCAAATTGGACAACAGTTACCTATAGAAAATGGAAATTTGTCTTAGTTGCCAATTTAATGCGGGTCTTGCTTAAAATAAACGTGACTCATTTCCTCATTATGCATTCCACTGAACTTTCTCTATGCATTGTGCTTTTGTAAGCTGACAGATTTTTTGTGTTCCTAATGCTAGAATGTAAAGTCTTTTGGTTCCTAAACCATTTTTATTATTATTATTTTTTTTTCCACTTAGCACTGCTTTTGAAGAAATGAGAAAAGGTCTAGATGGCACTGCTTAAGTCTTTTCCCGTTATTGAATTGCAGTAGAAAGAATTGTAACATTCCTTATGCAAACACATGATTATGTTGCATGAGTTTTCAGTTCTGAAAATGCATTTCATACCTACTAGCAGTCATGTACAATATATATACAGATTGAGATCAAAGATTGCATTTAGACTGTGCATTTGAGAGTCAGAATTTGCCTATGAATTTCACAAAGATGAAAAACACCTTAATTGCTGGCTATCTGGCTATTTTATTACCAAAAGAAAAACTATACATATATATATAAACTGATAGTAATACCATATCAGAATTGCCAAAACATACTTTTGTGGTCCTTAAATTTAAACACTGGATGTCAAGCTGACTGGTCTTTTTGAAGACTTAAAGATCTAGCACCCCTCCCTGGCCCTCCCCCAATTTGGTGACTAAAATCCAATTCAAACACAATAAATATACACTTTAAGAATAAATTCTATATCTACTGTTATCTCTGGGCAGGATGAGGCAGTTTTTTCTACCTACATGGTTACTGAATGCCAATATATGGATTTCGCTCTAGGGCTTCTGTTTCAAGGTCCCATCTTCTCCTTTCCCTAGATTTTTCTTATCTCTGCAGGCGGAAATGAATCCCTGGTCATATGCTTTTGAGGCTCATGTTGCAAAGCTGCTTCTGTCCACTTTGATCTAGATTTCTCTGTTGACTTCCCTGGACATCAAAATTTTGTTGTAACCATAAATGACAATTTGAAGGATTTTTATGGCTTTTATGATAATTGCAATTAAGAGCCCATTTTTAGGTTGGAGCTCTGAGTTGTCTCTAGAAAAACCTTTCCAGAATGGCATTTTGGAGTTGTACACCTGAGTTATCAATATGCTCCTTCCTGATATATGCTACTCAAACTTTAAGCCCTAGTGACAAGGGGCAGGCACTTTTATTAGCGTGATGTCCCAAAATGATTGCCCAGGGGAAAGTGTGTCCCCGGAGAAACTTGAGGAATCTCTGCTCTGAGCCCAGGGGCAGCATGAAGGTTGGATTCTGCCCAAAGATCATACTCAGAGGTGTTCAAGTATATAATCAAAAAAATAAGGGCCAGAGTTCCCTATGCTGGTGAAAAAAAATATCATCCCATTTGGGGGGGCAAATTCAGAAAGCTGGATGTTAAACCTTTTTTTTCTCTAATAGTGGGAATAGAAGGGCAGCAAGACTCCATCATATTTGAAGCTGCTGAATCATCAGAGAAAGAAAACATACATTTTATCCACAGGCAGATACTGGCCTTGGCTACTATGCACAATTAGGGATGTTACTCTGAAAAGAAGTGTTTATTTTTTAAATAGAAATAGCAAAGTCACCCTCCAAGAAAAAGTTCAGTCAAAGCAAACTCTAAGGAAAAATGAGCAATTCACTATTTTCTCCAAGAAAGGCAAAATATGAACCGCACATTGACCGAATAAAATATATTAGCTTATTCTCTTGCCTGTCCAACATATGAATGCATATATCCAATTAGTATAGAAAGAAGCACAATGACATAATTTAAAAATTGAATAAAAACAGTACATCGTGCCTGCCTGATTATGTTATATATTTTTCTACAGTATCAACTGAGGCTCATAACATTCACCATGTTAATGTTATTCTGTTTTCCATGACTTTTCCTATTTTCTTTGATTAGGCAGATTGCAACATACACAATGAAATCACCCTTAAAAAAATCAAACCCAGCAAAACTACAAAGTAACCCTACTTGTGCACATAATCTTTGAAGTACTGTTTGCTATGAAAGATACAAAGGTGAACTTCACTGCACATAAGGAAACATAGTTCTCTCAAAATCTCTCCAAAGCCTTACTTTGTCTGTCTCTTAAGAATATAATCAGAATTTCAGAAGCAAGAAAAGTTAGAAAAGACCATTAATCCTCTAAAGAAATAAACAAATCCTTCCTTTGAAATAACCTAAATTCAGAAATAAACTGTAGGAAAATGTTGTAGAGACAGCTGACACTGTCTGAGAAAAGCATCCTGTTTGCTAGCTCTGTCTGTGCTTTATATTCATATATTGGAATGACTCCCAGCGTAACCTAAGATGATTCTAATTCCACTATCTTTTCTATTTGGGGGGTGTCTTTTTATTAGATAAACTATAAAAACCTCTCTAGGTATGCTGTCAAAAGCTTGTGAGGTTGGAGGAAAAAAATCTCTCTCACTCTACCTTTCGCCACTGAACACAGTATGTGTGGACCAGATGCTACAAGGGGCTGATAAGGGTCATGCTGCTCACTTGCTTTAATTTTGTTACAACAGCTGTTTCTGGATTTTCCACTCTGCTCTGGGTTATTAACTCTTAGTTTAACGACCTCGGAAATAGCCTCTTAGAAAAATTTCTTTGGCCCCCATGCATGAAAACGTTCAGAAGTCTCCCCTTCTCTAAATGTCAAAGTAGAATATGTTGGAGTTGATTCTTATGCTCAAGCAAACAGAGCCTGGCCAAACTGGTTTCCTGAGTCTCTGTCTTCACTCTCCCTATCCTGTTTGAACTACATGAGAACCTTCTACAATCCAGTGGGAATCAACTTCCCATGGCACCATTATCACCTTAATAAGACAGGCATAGACCATCTTCAGTTAGCATGTTTGCGTGGCACAGCAGACCGGATGCCAACCTTAGGAAGGAAGACGGGGGGTATCTGGGTACGACCGCTTCTCTGCGAAATGACTGATGACGCTATTGACCCTTCTAGAATATCTTCTAAATTACTGCCCTCCATATAGGCTGTGTACTAAGCAGAAAAAGTGGGACACTCAGACTCAGTTTTGCCAGCATGTGTACAAATCACTTGCATTTTAACTGGAAAACCACAGGGACCTTAGTGTATTCATGACTTAGCAGAAGCAACCCAAATGGTATGAAATGGACCACAGGATAGGCCAGCAACTAAGGTATTTTAGCATCACTTTTGTCCTGGAGTGATGTGTTTTCCAAGTTCTACGTCAGGCTGTACAACTGGTTTGAGGAGGGATCTAGTCCTTGCTTCCCATGGGAGGCTATGTTTTAGTTCACATAGTAAAGCCAATAGACGATGTTGAAGAAGGAAAAAACCACTGGGAAGAATATGCGGGACCACCGATCTATGGCATTCACATCAGTCAAGTCGGGGATGGTGATTTTCAGTTGGGAGGCGCGTCTCCGCAGGCGGCTTTTCTTCTGTGCCACGTGCCGTTCCAGGGCATTTCGGCCAAAACTATGCCTGGGTAACCCGGCTTTCCGATACTGGATGCTGGAGGCATCGCAGGCCAGCATTGTGCTCCTGGGGTCTCCAAGTCCCAGCACAGCCTCGGAAGTGGCCATTTCATTTTTTATCTCAAGAGTGCTCAGTAATATGTTCTCATGGGGGTCCATCTGGAAAGGAGAAGAACCAAACAAGACTTTCAAAATAATAAGCCTTTAATGGTGATTATTACACAAGGCACTATGATATGTAGTTTAGAAATTTATCATAGTGGTTAAGAGAACTGGATTTGCAGTGACATGATCTAAATTTGAATTGTGGCTCTGCAACTATCACCTATGTGAGTTTCAGCTTCTTCATTTATTAAATGGTATAATAATCCAACCCTAGAGGATGGCTGTAATGACGTAAAGGTATAATAGATTGTTGCGAGTATCATTTTCATGATTTCTACTTAGAGCACACAGATAAATGGAAAGCATGACACCCCCCTTTAAAGAATTTACAGTCTTAATTACAACTACCTAAAAAATTAAACTGAACTAGGTATGAAATAGCATTAGAGGATGAATTATTGAATTGTGCTCAAAATAGAAGACTAACTACAGATGAATTCATGATAAAACTAGAACTAAAAACAGTAGGTAAGGAGAGGTCTTCAAGATGGCAGAGGAGAAAGACATGCAGATCACCTTCCTCCCCACAAATACATCAGAAATACATCTATGCGTGGAACAACTCCTACAGAACACCTACTGAATGCTGGCAGAAGACCGCAGACTTCCCAAAAGGGTCTTTGTGCTCCAGCCGGGTGTCAGGACTGTGTCTCTGAGGTGGGAGAGCTGAGATCAGGACATTGGTCCACCAAAGACCTCCTGGCTCCACGTAATATCAAATGGCAAAAGCTCTCCCAGAGATCTCCATCTCAATACTAAGACCCAGATCCACTCAATGACCAGCAAGCTACAGTGCTGGACACCCTATGCCAAACACCTAGCAAGACAGGAACACAACCCCATCCATTAGCAGAGAGGCTGCCTAAAATCATAATAAGGTCAGAGACACCCCAAAACACATCACCGGATGCGGTCCTGCCCACCAGAAAGACAAGATCCAGCCTTATCCACCAGAACACAGGCACCAGTCTCCTCCACCAGGAAGCCTACACAACCCACTGAACCTACCTTAGATACCGGGGGCAGACACCAAAAACAACGGGAACTAAGAACCTGCAGCCTGTGAAAAGGAGACCCCAAACACACTAAGATAAGCAAAATGAGAAGACAGAGAAACACACAGCAGATGAAGGAGTAAGGTAAAAACCCACCAGACCAAACAAATGAAGAGGAAATAGGCAGTCTACCTGAAAAAGAATTCAGAGTAATGATACTAAAGATGATCCAAAATCTTGGAAATAGACTGCAGAAAATACAAGAAACGTTTAACAAGGACCTAGAAGAAGTAAAGAGCAAATAAACAATGATGAACAACACAATACATGAAATTAAAAATTCTCTAGAAGGAATCAATAACAGAATAACTGAGGCAGAAGAACGGATAAGTGACCTGGAAGATAAAATAGTGGAAATAACTACTGCAGATCAGAATAAAGAAAAAAGAATGAAAAGAATTGAGGACAGTCTCAGAAACCACTGGGACAACATTAAACACACCAATATTCAAAATACAGGGGTCCTAGAGGACGAAGAGAAAAAGAAAGGGACTGAGAAAATATTTGAAGAGATTATAGTTGAAAACTTCCCTAATATGGGAAAAGAAATAGTTAATCCTGTCCAGGAAGCGCTGAGAGTCCTATTCCAGATAAATCCAAGGAGAAACATGCCAAGACACATATTAATCAAACTATCAGAAATTAAGTACAAAGAAAAAATATTAAAAGCAGCAAGGGAAAAACAACAAATAATATACAAGGGAATCCTCATGAGGTTAACAGCTGATCTTTCAGCAGAAACCCTACAAGCCAGAAGGGAGTGGCAGGACATATTTAAAGTGATGAAAGGGAAAAACCTACAACCAATACTACTCTACCCAGCAAGAATCTCCTTCGGATTTGACGGAGAAATTAAAACCTTTACAGACAAGCAAAAGCTAAGAGAATTCAGCACCACAAAACCAGCTTTACAACAAATGCTAAAGGAACTTCCCTAGACAGGAAACACAGGAGAAGGAAATATCTACAATAACAAACCCAAAACAATTAAGAAAATGGTAATAGGAACATACATATCAATAACTACCTTAAATGTAAATGGATTAAATGCTCCAACCAAAAGACATAGACTGGCTGAATGGATACAAAAACAACACCTGTATATATGCTGTCTACAAGAGACCCACTTCAGACCTAGGGACACATACAGACTGAAAGTGAGGGGATGGAAAAAGATATTCCACGCAAATGGAAATCAAAATAAAGCTGGAGTAGCAATTCTTGTATCAGACAAAATAGACTTTAAAATAAAGACTATTACAAGAGACAAAGAATGACACTACATAATGATCAAGGGATCAATCTAAGAAGAAGATATAACAATTGTAAATATTTATGCACCCAACATAGGAGCACCTCAATACATAGGCAAATGCGAACAGCCATAAAAGGGGAAATTGACAGTAACACATTCATAGAAGGGGACTTTAACACCCCACTTTCACCAATGCACACATCATCCAAAATTAAAATAAATAAGAAAACACAAGATTTAAATGATACATTAAACAAGATGGACTTAATTGATATTTATAGGACATTCCATACAAAAATAACAGAATCCACTTTCTTCTCAAGTGCTCATGGAACATTCTCCAGGATAGATCATATCATGGGTCACATATCAAGCCTTGGTAAATTTAAGAAAATTGAAATCGTATCAAGTATCTTTTCGACCACAACGCTATGAGACTAGATACCCATGAGAGAAAAAAATCAGTAAATATACAAACACATAAAAGCTAAACAATACACTACTAAATAACCAAGAGATCACTGAAGAACTCAAAGAGGAAATAAAAAAATACATAGAAACAAAAGACAATGAAAACACGAAAACCCCAAATCTATGGGATGCAGCAAAAACAGTTCAAAGAAGGAAGTTTATAGAAATACAATCCTACCTCAAGAAACAAGAAACATCTCAAATAAACAACCTAACCTTACACCTAAAGGTACAAGGGAAAGAACAAACAAAACCCAAAGTTAGTAGAAGGGAAGAAATCATAAAATCAGAGCAGAAATAAATGAAATAGAAACAAAGAAAACAATAGCAAAGATCAATAAAACTAAAAGCTGGTTCTTTGAGAAGACAAACAAAATTGATAAACCATTAGCCAGACTCATCAAGAAAAAGAGGGTGAGGACTCAAATCAACAAAATTAGAAATGAAAAAGGAGAAGTAACAACTGACACTGCAGAAATACAAAGGATCATGAGAGATTACTACAAGCAACTATATTCCAATAAAATGGACAACCTGGAAGAAATGGACAAATTCTTAGAAAAGCACAACCTTCTGAGACTGAACCAGGAAGAAATAGAAAATAGAAACAGACGAATCACAAGCACTGAAATTGAGACTGTGACTAAAAATCTTCCAACAAATGGAAGCCCAGGACCAGATGGCTTCACAGTCGAATTCTATCAAACATTTAGAGAAGAGCTAACACCTATCCTTCTCAAACTCTTCGAAAAGATAGCAGAGGGAGAAACACTCCCAAACTCACTTTATGAGGCCACCATCACCCTGATACCAAAACAAGACAAAGATGTCACAAAGAAAGAAAACTACAGGCCAATATCACTGATGAACATCGATGTAAAAATCCTCAACAAAATACTAGCAAACAGAATCCCACAGCACATTAAAAGGATCATACACCATGATCAAGTGGGGTTTATCCCAGGAATGCAAGCATTCTTCAATATACACAAATCAAGCAATGATACACCATATTAACAAACTGAAGGAGAAAAACCATATGATCATCTCAATAGATGCAGAAAAAGCTTTTGACAAAATTCAACACCCATTTATGATAAAAACCCTCCAGAAAGTAGGCGTAAAAGGAACTTACCTCAACATAATAAAGGCCATATATGACAAACCTACAGCCAACATCATTCTTAATGGTGAAAAACTGAAACCATTTCCTGTAAGATCAGGAACAAGACAAGGTTGTTCACTCTTACCACTATTATTCGACATAGTTTTGGAAGTTTTAGCCACAGCAATCAGAGAAGATAAAGAAATAAAAGGAATCAAAATCGGAAAAGAAGAAGTAAAGGTGTCACTGTTTGTAGATGACATGATACTATACATAGAGAATCCAAAAGATGCTACTAGAAAACTACTACAGCTAATCAATGAACGTGGTAAAGTAGTAGGATACTACATTAATGCACAGAAATCTCTTGCATTCCTATACAGTAATGTTGAAAAATGTGAAAGAGAATTAAGGAAACACTCCCATTTACCATTGCAGCAAAAAGAATAAAATACCTAGGAATAAACCTACCTAAGGAGACAAAAGACCTATATGCAGAAAACTATATATTTCTGTATGCAGAAAACTATATAAGACACTGATGAAAGAAATGAAAGATGATACAAACAGATGGAGAGATATATCATGTTCTTGGATTGGAAGAATCAACGTTGTGAAAATGACTACACTACCCAAAGCAATCTACAGATTCAATGCAATCCCTATCAAACTACCAATGGCATTTTTCACAGAGCTAGAACAAAATATTTCACAATGTGTATGGAAACACAAAAGACTCCAAATAGCCAAAGCAATCTTGAGAAAGAAAAACGGAGGTGGAGGAATCAGGTTCCCGGACTTCAGACTATACTACAAAGCTACAGTCATCAAAACAGTATGGTACTGGCAGAAAAACAGAAATATAGATCAATGGAACCAGATAGAAAGCCCAGAGATAAACCCACACACATATGGTCACCTTATCCTTGATAAAAGAGGCGAGAATATACAATGGAGGAAAGACAGACTCTTCAAGTAGTGGCGCTAGGAAAACTGCACAGCTACAAGTAAAAGAATGAAATTAGAACAGTTCCTAACACCACATACAAAAATAAACTCAAAATGGATTAAAGACCTAAATGTAAGGGCAGACACTATAAAACTCTTA